TAAATAAAATTAAATGTTTTAGGTTCTAATTATTCGAATAAAATCGAATAAAAATGCTACGAGTCCACACTGGATGGATAAAGTTTATTCTTTAAAAGTATAAATGAAAAAAGTGTAAACATTTCGAACTTTCGAGTTTCTTGAGTACAATAGTTAAACAATAATTACATGTGTTGAATTAATTGTAAAAGTTGTTACAATATCAGTCATATACCAGTCGATTAATTTTAGAGCTTGACTTCATCATATTTATTACATTTATCCACATTAATTCAAGTTTCGACTACTTTTTTTGTCGCATAGATTTGACTTACCATTTTATTTCTGGATACCTAATTTTATAATGATTGTATGATGAACTATTATTTGACTATGCACTTTTATTTGTGACAGCAATTTATATATTTTTACGAATATATATATTTTTACTAATATATAATATAATTTTGTAGTTAACTTGACATTATAATTATTATTTAATAATTAGTACTGAACCTAAAATGGAGGGTCGAAACAATTAATATTTTTTTCATTTATATCTCTAAACAATACTATGAGAGAATTTTTTGTACATACATGTCCATCCAGTGTTGGCGAGTTGACATTTTTATTGTATTCGACGAAATTTTAAATCTAAAATATATAATGTACACATAATACGATAAAATACATGTTTATCTTATACATGAACTTGTTGCTACCAAACTACATTCTAAAGATTTTATTAAAATTGAAATTCATTAATATAAAAATATCCGACAATAATTCGACTTTTACATTAAAACATTGTACAGACAGAAAGGCATTTATGCTTATTAATTATCGTACAATTTTTTGTTTTATCAAATTTTCTATTTTATCGTCAGAATAATTTAATATATTTTTTAAAACTTCCGATGTATGCTGTCCCAATGTTGGTGGTGCTGATCGCACTATGTTAGTAGCGTAGCTATATGTCACAGGTGGTCCAACAAGTTTCACTTTGCCTGTAACTGGATGATTTACTTCTTGAACCAATTTGATGTGTTTCACATGGGGATCATCGAATACCTGGAAATTATAGTTAAAGAAAATGAATTTATTAAATTGCAAAGGAAATAATGCATCAAGATCAGATTAGATTGGTTAATTCACTTCTCTCATAGTATTTATTGCTCCATAAGGAAACGAAGCCCCTGTAAATTCTACAGACCATTCTTGATTTGTTTTCTTTTTAATTACATCTCTAAGGATTTCAAGTAGCTCGATTCTGTTTTTAACTCTAGCTATATTATTCTTGAACTTGTCATTAGCAGCAAGTTCTGACATTTGTAATTTTGTGACTAATTCTAGAAATTGTGCATCGCTTCCTACTCCAATCGTCATGTATCCATCTTTCGTAGAAAAGGCTTCGTAAGGAACTATGCTTTCGTGTTCAGATCCCCATCTTGTCGCTTCCTTATTTCCATTTAAGTAATTTGAAGCAATGTTTATCAGGCTTGCGATTTGAGTCGACAAGAGATTACATTGTATCCACTGACCTTTGTTGGTTTTCGATCTTTGTAGTAAAGATGCCATAATTGCTCCATGAGCGTACAGGCCTGTTGCCATATCAGTCATTGCTACGCCAACCTTGCACGGTGGTCCATCTTTCGGCCCGGTAATGTGCAAAAGACCGCCTAAGGAAGCAGCAATGACATCGTAACCGGGTCTATTTGCATATGGTCCACTAGATCCATAACCAGTCAACGAGCAATAGATGAGATGTGGCGCTATCTTAGCCATGTCTTCATATCCTAAGCCTATGCTATTCAGCTTTCCGGGCACATAATTTTCTATCAGAATATCGCTTGTCTGCGCCAGCTCATAAATAATATCTTTCCCCTTCTTCAAATCGATGCAAACACTCTTCTTATTTCTGTTGATGCTCATGAAATAAGTCGACTCTTGTGTTCCTTGGAAGAATGGTGGGCCCCACTTGCGTGCTTCGTCCCCACCATCGGGTCGTTCGATCTTCAAGATCTCCGCACCGAGATCACCCAGGATCATTGTACAGTAAGGACCGGCCACGATTCGCGTTAGATCCAGAACTCGTACTCCGTTCAACGGCGAACAATTCTCTTGAATGGCCGTGCAAAATTCACGTTCGCAACTTTTCAATTTGCCTTCATTTAGGAAAGATTTGTGGCTCGTCGCGCGGTTTCGTGTGGTAATTGCAAGTATTTTACGCATCATATTGAAATTCTTAAAAATGAGATTGACAACTTATGTATTGGGGTGCAACGTAATATATTTTAAAACATAAATTAAACAGAAACACTATCTTCTTGACTAAACCTCATTCAGAAGTTGATGCACTTGACCAAAAATACTGATTGTGAATTGTACGTTTGTTACATTTCAAGCTAGAATGTTTCTATTTCTTGAGAAAATTTAACTTTGTTAAATTGGAATTGTGATACATACATGCGTCATACTATATGTATAAAAGTGATTATTTTGTTTTTTGAAGAAAGAGACTCATTTATATACATGTTCGAAAAATAAAAACAGGGTAATGAAAGCGCAATTTAAATACATCCAGTTGCGACATCGGAGCACTTGCACTTAATATTTCTTTTAATATTATTAAAAAGATATTATATTAAGTATCATTTGTTGGAAAAACTGTTTGACAGAATGAAGATTTTAAAAAGACTTCAAGAGAGATAAAAATCTTTAAACTCTAAGACAGCAGTTGCAGCACGTAATCGAACGCGTAATCACGTATCAACTGATATGACGCAAGTTTTCTATGATGAATGAGAAATTTCTTTCGACGACGCGAGTCGAACGGACTGTCAAGATATGATAAGATAAGAGTTGTTGGTGCTTATTTTAATTCCAATAAACAATTCATATCGCATCTAGGCTAATAACACTTAGTGAATCTCCTCGCGAATATTTGACGAACCTGCGATCCGGAGTCAGTGACGTCTGCCTCGGAGATTGTTTCCGTTTGCGTCTGCGAAGCCGTCTGCTCCGACATCGTTCTCTCCATGTATTGCGATCGACGGTGCGATACCTTCGAGCGCGAAGGCAGCGAAGGACGAGGGCGGGCGAGGGACACGCCAGGACACGCACGATATCGCTATCGTTGCGTATGTAAGGTACGTAGGTTACAAACGTAACCTACGCTTACTTATTTTCAGCTATGTTCAGCAGAATTCAATTATAGACGTTACACGGTAACGCGAACGTTGTGAACTCGCCTCATTGCTGCAGTGTTGCCACAATGATATCAATAGCACTGTATGCTTTTCAATTGCAATATCCCTAGATACTTTCGTGCGGCCACAATTTGCGTTCCAATTGTCCGTTATCGTCGACACAACGCTACACATCTGGGGGTTTGATTTGAATTGATTTGAAAGGAAGTGAAAATTATAAAAATGAGCAAAGGTTACTAGGTATTGACCAATTAAATTATGAATACTCTAATGAATTTACTCACTTTTGTAATTTTCACCTCACTTGAAGATACACAATCCCACTGGACTGCGTTCCGTTTCATGCATCATTTATTCTTGTTTAACATTCGATAAATAACAAGGATAAATAATGCAACATACGCATTATGCGTGAAACGGAACGCAGTTTTGTACTCAATCGAGAGTTGTGTAAGCTTGTTTTCTAGTGACAATTACATGTTACTAACTGCGACAGCTATAAAGGAAGTTGAAAGACGTTGAATGGCCGACACTTTTACTTTTTGTTATTTAATACAGACGGAAAAAGCTACATTTAATTTAACTCTATCTGAAACGGATCTCAATCATGCACAATTACATTCTATACACATTCTGTTTTAATTGAATCATGTACAATGATGCATTCCTGTGTATATTTATGTTAAGTTGTGTTAAGCAATTGGAAAGCATCCACTATGGCTACAGTTGATTTGGACGTTTACGCGCTTTAACGCTTTAAGCGCTTGTAATCATCATTTTGTCTTTATCGTTCATTAGACATAAAATAAGAATAGAAGTACTGAAATCGCTGAAAGCGTCTAAATCGATCGCAGCCTAAATATATACTGCCAGTACCAATATTTTTTTCTTTTATAAATAGACGACAATTAACTTCGAATATTTTCTTGCGCTCTTTTTTTTATTGTCTCATTTTAAGCAACATTTCGACTTTTTCATCAATTTTTTAAAGCTTTTTAGATAAAAACTTTAATGAGTTTCTTTGCTAAATTCAAAATTTTCTATGATCTTTAATACTTCAATTAAGCATTTAAATATTTAAGGTTTCACCAATTCCGATCAAACTTAATCGTGATTAACTGTCAAAAGCAATTGGGCGATTCTACTAAATAGCAAACGCGGTTGGTCAGTCAACAGTCGATTAAACTAATGTATTGGTGAAACTGGTTCAAAACGCTTTTATCTCTGAAATTATATAATATGCATAATTTAAAGTATAATAAAAATAGTATATAGCAATTGATTAAGGAATAGACGTAGAAATTGACCAATCATAGTTGATTATTTTTTCTCACATTCAACTATGATCGATTTCTACGTTTACTCCTTAATCCACTAGTGCTACTGTCGATTGTAGACCATATGTGGTCTATAATGGCAGTAGCAGTAGTGGATGAGGTTGTAAGAGTAACAAATTGACCAATCATAGTTGAAAGTGAGAAGAATAATCGACTGTGATTGATCAATTTCTTACTCTTACAGCCTCATCCATTACTGATACTGCTACCATTGTTGATCACGCATTACATCGTTGTAAGACCGGAATCAGATTGCGCATTGAAGAATGAGATTGAAAATTGGAAAGATTGAAATTTGACTAATCAGAACAAAAGGAGCCAAAATTTTTTTGTCCTCTTATCTGTTGATGAAATTTCAATTCAATTTCAATCATAGTTTAATTCCGGCCAAAGCGCGTTCTGAATACGAGTCTTTAAGTTATTTCTTTGAGGTACTATGAAAAACGAATTTGTGCCTTATGTAAATTCGTATAGTAACAATTTTTTAATGTATTATTAATATTTTTATGTATATATCTGATATTTTCTCTTCAACTCTATTTGTGCATATTTAAGTGCAAAAAATATAACAATGCAACTTCCCCCCTCCCCCCTCCAAAGAACCGAAGATATTTATAATTTGAAAATTTTATTTACAATTTAAAAATTTAAAAACTGTTGTATTTTCATATATATATTTGATTACTTAAATTCGTAAATTTATTATGTATGTTATGGGACATACAAAGTAAACAAAATTCTATTCGGAATTTAAATTATAGATATCTTAAAAATGAGCTTTATGTAGAATATCCAATTTGATTTTTTATTTTGATATCAAAATCTAGAAATGTCAGAAATTTCGAATAAAAACGTTTTTACAAGAAACGTTTCTACAAAAAATTTTTAATAAAATTTTTAATAAATAATTAATTTTAATATTTTCTGCAACGTAATAAATTCTTA